CAGAGGCTGGGGAGGCCGTGGGGGGGGGCGCTCCAGGTGTGGGGAGGGGTTGAGGGTTGGTGTGCAGGAGCCGGTGGACCGACAGAAACTGAAGCCCTCAGTTTTTGCTACCGTTGCGGTTTCTGTCATGCATACATGAAATTCTGTGCTACTGCTCAGGACTTGCTACCTGGCCCATGGGTTGCTAATTCAGAGGGATGGGGTTCTGTGGTCCAAAACACGCACAATTTGCTCCCTGGTCCAGGGTTTGCTAATTCTGAGGGATGGGGTTCCGTGGTCAAAAACACTCACAATTTGCTCCCTGGTCCAGGGGTTGCTAATTCTGAGGGATGGGGTTCCGTGGTCAAAAACACTCACAATTTGCTCCTTGTACCGCATCTTCCCCCACCCTGCACAGTTTGAGGCCGGGCTCCCCCATACACTAACCTGCCAGTGGAGATGGAGGAGGGTTGGGCTTGGAGCAGAGAGGCAGGGAGGAGGCTCTAGCTGCCGGTTGCAGACAGAGTAGGAGCACGTGAGCAGAGGGATGACAGGGGGAGCAGAATGGGATTAAATTGGTGCCTCCCTAGAATGGTGCCCAGGGGCAACTGACTCCTTCAGCCCCCTCGCTGTGCCACAGTCCCCTCTCCTGCAGAGCTATCATCTTATGCATGTGCAAGATCTGTGAGAGCCATCCAATGCATCTGCAGTTTGTGTCTGTGGTGCCTGCTTCTGGGTGGTGTCTCAATGCTGCTACATTCACCTCTAAAGAGGGGGCTTCCCAAAGCAGGTCCTTGCTGCTGACCCCCAAGGCATCCACAGGTCCAGTCTCCTTTCAATAGGCCCACTTCCCAGGGCTCATTGATCTTGGATCTGGCTTCCATCCCTCTCCAACCTTTGCAACTGCCCAGAGGTGTTCATCTTCTGCCTTATACATTCCCACCTCATTCACCCCAAGGGACAGTCTCTGCCTCACTTGTCCTAGGGACTATTCTACCAAGACGTAATACAAAGTTTCCATGTAAAAAGACTCAATACAAAGCTAAAAACTTCAATGAGAGAATGATTAATACAGAGATGTGTCTATATCTGCTGCAGGGAGACACCTCTGCCTGCCTCCACCCCTCTCCCCCAGAGTCTACAGCCCCATTGCAAAGCAGGGGAGGGGAGGAAAGAGGCTGAGGCTCATCCAGTGAGACTGAAGCAGTCATGAGCAAGCCATGCCCGGGAGCCATTCTCCAGTCTATTGCTGTGTTGCTTCAGGCATGCTGAAAAGCAATCACCTCTAGGGTGGGCTGGACAGCTGCTTAACACCTGCAGTCCCAGGGCAGGCAGAGGGTAGTGCGGGCTGCCTTCCTGCAGCACCCCCATCAGAACCACTGTGCCCTCCTGGCTTAGGAAAAGAATAAACAGGAGGATTGGAAATTAGCCTGCCCAGTCTCACATCCCCTAGGCAGGGAATGAGCCATCTACATTAGGCCCCAGCTGGAATATCATGTCTAGTTCTGGGTGCCACATTTCAGGAAACGTGGAGAAAGTCCAGAGAAGATCAACACAAATGATGAAAGGTCTAGAGAACATGAGATATGAGGCAATGCTGAAGGAATTGGCCTTGTTTGCCTTGGAAAAGAGAAGACCGAAAAGGGACATGAGAGCAGCTTTCAAGTTTCTAAAAGAGTATAATAAGGGGGAGGTAGAAAAATTGTTCTCCTTGGCCTCTGGTTAGGATGAGAAGCAATGGGCTTAAATTGCAGCAAGGGAGGTTTAGGTTTGACATTAGGAAAAACTTCCTGCTTGTCAGGGTGGTTAAGCACTGGAGTAAATTGCCTAGGGAGACTGCGGAATTTCCATCACTGGAGATATTTAAGACTAGGTTAGACAGACACCTGTCAGGGATGAGCTTGGGCAACTCAACTTTGGAAGTCCCGGGGGCCACGCTGATACTTACAGAACATGATGAGAGCCTCAACTAAAGTGTGATTGAATATGCAAGCAAATATATACAAATAGTTTCTCTCACACAGACAGTCATGAATGCAAAGATTAAGTCAAGACTTCACAACACACAGGCCCCATTCAAGTCAGTTCTGCTGATATTAATAAAATGCAACATTTCCCCAATTTCTACCCATGTGACAGCACTTTTCATGAGCAATGACAGTCCAGGAATGTAACTACTAAAACGCATCTCAACAGAAGATCATTTCACTGACTACTTTTTTGGTTTTGGCTTCCACTTGCTGGCCTCATGTTGATTCCCCACAGAAACCCAAACTGCACCGCAGGGCACAAACAAACTGGCCATGGGCAGCATGCAGCCCACGGGCCATGTGTTGAGCAGCCCTGGGTGGTTGGTTCTGCTGTGAGGGCAGGGGACTGGACTTGATGACCTCTTGAGGTCCCTTCCAGCTCTAGTGTTCTGTGATTCTATACTGCCTGCATGGGGTTAGATGGGGGATTGTGCCCCCTAGAAGGGACAGATCTCCAGAGCCCATCCATACCTCCGTGAGCCAGCCTGTGCTCCCTTCCCTAGGACTGAACCAGAGCCAGGGCTCCCTAGAGAGACCATGTAGCCTCCTGAGCACCAGTGAAATTTTGGTGCTAGGGCCCTCCCTCAAGTGGATCCCTTGCACTGGGGGTCAGGTCAGGCCCTGTTTACTCTCACACTGTGGGGTGCCAGAGGTGGTGCCTCTAGGCCAGTGTTGCGGCGCAAGGGGAATGAATTGGCTGGTTCCGAAGCATTCCCCCCACAGGCCTCAGCAAGCCTGGGGGCAGGGCTGAGCAGATGGGAGAAGTGTGGGCAGGGGGTGGCTGCAAGGTATCCATCTCTGCCCTTTGATGCCGTTAGCTGGGGTGCACTGCGGGCCGGAGGGCAGCTCCCAGGATTGTCTCCTTTGAACGGGGTGGCTTGATCTCAGCACAAGCTAGACAGGGTATGATTGCTGAAGCCCCCCCACCCTGCGGTTGTTCCCCACATTAATCAGATTGCAGCGAGCCAGGTTATGCTGGTCTGTGCTGCAGTCACATCTTTGCTACCTGTGTAGACAGCTCCTGAACCACTGGAAACTGAGCTTCTAGTCCAGCCTGGTGTGTGACTTCAGACATGTCACAGCTCCCACTGTGCCTCCATTTCCCCAGCTGTAAAATGGGAACAATGTGGGCCTCCTCGCTAAAGCCCTCTGAGTGTTACCAATGGACGGAGCATGGGCTGGCAAGGACAAGTCTTACCGTGGTCATGCGGGCTTGGCACCTTTCCAGTGGGCGGATGGCGCCATCAGTTGCTTGATAGTGCTTTGTGTCCAGATGAAATCTAGTGAGGTGGTCCAGTGACAGATGGGTGAGTGGCTGAAAGTCAGTAGGTAGAGAACCGTGTGCCAGGTGGCAGGTCACTGGCAAATTCAGCATACGGGGAAGGGTCTCCCCACGCCTCTGCTCCCAGCACTTGCAGGCGTAGTTCACAAATGACAAAGCTCTTTTCCCCACCAGCCAAGCCATCACTTTACTCTGGGTCTTTAACACATGCTGTCCCTTGCCGTGGCTGGGCACTGCTCCGGGGCGGACCCAGCTCTCCTAGCCCAGAATCACAGGAGTGCCCAAAACGTGGGGTTGGGGGGCACAGGCACCCAGACCCGTCATCCCCCACCGTGCTGTTCTTGCCACAAGGCCCCCACACACACACTGTCCCCCTGCCATTGCCTGCCCTTACATGCCTCTGGGCCCCCACCCCCTGCTCCATGCCCCTTGGCCCTGGCCTGCCTGACTAGGTGTAGCCAGACAGAAACCCCCCTCCTCCCTCTGACATCGATGGGAGAGAGAATCCTTAAGAGTGAAACTCTGTCTTCAAAGGCTCCAGGGCATCCAGAGGTGCTGGAATAACAATGGCCCTGGATGCTAGACAGGAACCAGATAACAACAGCAATTGGGCCAGCAGGTGATGAGGCCTCGGGCTACCTTTGGCTGGTACCAGTATTGATACGCCTACACACACCGTCCCAGAAGAGGAATCTGCCACCTCATCAGAAAAAGGATGTCTGGCCCGAATGGGTTTCATGGTACCTGTAAGTGCCTTTTTTTAGTGTAATTTCTATCTTGTCCTTTTTGTAGTGGCTGCTTGCCTTGTAACAATAAAATAACTGTTTAAGCTTTAACCTGACTCCTCCTCTTGCTGTAACAGAACCAGACACAATTAAAAGGATCACAGCCGGTCAGGGGTAAACGCAGTAAGAGCTGAGCATTGGGTTGTGCTGCCTCCACGGGGCAAACTTTTGGGGCTCCCGTCAGCCTTCCTGGCTGCCCGCTGTGAAGGGACCCTGTCCTAGCAGTTGAAGACTCAGGTGTTTAATAGGGCTCACAGACCACTCACTGCTCCAGCCACCGGCTAACACCAGGGGCTGCTGCTGGAGACTGGCAGGTTTTCTAACAGCTGATGCCAGAGCCAGGCACTCCCAGAACCTCCCACAACCAAATCCCCCTCCCTCAGAGACAGGCAAACCCAGAGCCTTCTTCCCCCACCAACCAAATCCCCTTCCTTCAGAGACAAGCCACCCCAGAGCACTCCACTAAATCTCCCTCCTTCGGAGCTAAGCAACCCAGCACCACCCCACAACCAAATCCCCCTTTGCTATGCCTCTGCTGCAGAGGTATTA